ACAAAGGCCCCTTATACAAAAGGAACCCCTTATGACAAACTTCCCTGAAAGTAGGCACAGCCAGACAGAGTTTCTCGGAACCCCAGTCTGCTCAATTGGCTGCCAAGGATGTACGCCGGTATGTACATCCTCCAGAAGGTGGAGACCAGAATTGTCACAAAGCCAAGCTCACAAGATACAGAACAAGACAAAAGTCCAGACGACAGGCTTATAGAGATGCCTGTGTAAACAACAAACAGAGAGACAGAGACAAAGACTATTTCTGGGAGGAAATGGATCAATTATCCAATGGGTACCCAACCAGAACCTAGAGTTGCTGAGTCCAAGAAGCTAGCTTCACCAATATTTTCTCCTGTTAATCTAAATTTAGAAAGAAAAAACACACCACTCTCACTTTCACTGGACCCCGCAGGCAGAGATCCAGGAGACTGACATGGTAAGAACTCTCACCTCCTGCCGGCTCTTGTCAGGGTCCGGGATCTCTCCGCTGCAGTCGTCCAGGAGTGAGCAGTGTCCAGCCAGTGAAATTTTTGCCGCACGTTGGGCGCCAAAACTGTCAGGGAAGAAGGAAAATCCCCCTCTGCCCTTTCCCTCAAGGTTCTTATGGCTGGCCAAATAATTAAAAAGACGGGTTAGGGCTGGCCCCGTGGCTTAGCGGTTAAGTGCGCGCGCTCCGCTACTGGCGGCCCAGGTTCGGATCCTGGGCGCACACCGACGCACCGCTTCTCCGGCTATGCTGAGGCCCCGTCCCACATACAGCAACTAGAAGGATGTGCAACTATGACATACAACTATCTACTGGGGCTTTGGGGAGGAAAAGGAGGAGGATTGGCAATAGATGTTGGCTCAGAGCCAGTCTTCCTCAGCAAAAAGAGGAGGATTAGCACGGATGTTAGCTCAGGGCTGATCTTCCTCACAAAATAAATAAATAAATAAATAAAAATAAATGAAAGACAGGTTAGCAGGAGAAAATAATAACAAAGTTTAATAACGTATACATGGGAGAAACCAAGTGCAGAAATTCATGCCTGACACTCTCAGGTATTCACAGGAAAATACCTGCCTATCTCGGTAATGGTGAAAGAAATTTTCTTTTTTCTTTTAGAGTCCTTTTCCTTAGGACATTAAAAAGGTTTTTTCTGATGCATTTTTGAACAGATATTACGTCTACTATGGACTCTTTAGTGTTCTAGGCATTGGGGATGGAGTGAAGAACCAAACAGAGCCGAGCTCTCCTGTCAGGGGACCCTCTGTCCCTTCCAGTCCCCGAGCACCCTGGCACATCATCGCTCTGCTGCTTAGTGTTCTTGGGGCCTGGGCATGAGCCCTCCTCTCAGGTCACTCAGTGTCCCTCAAACCTGGGCTTCCAAGACACAGACTATATGCATGAATTATGTATAAATGGATATATACAAAATCATTGTTCTCAGCCAGTGTGCCTGGATGAAGAGTGATTTCTAGCTTTAGCCCCACCCAGGGCCAGTGATGAACACTATCCCAGAAAAGGTGGGCTTTGGCACCTGGAGTTCTCTTCCCCTTAGTGGGAGGGTCCCCACAGTGGGGGGTGGGGCAGGGGGCACACAGACACAGGGCTCCCTGACTGAGGCTTCACTTCACTCTGGTCTGTTCTCCACTCACAACCAGAGCAGATTTCCTCAAGTGCATCTGAGTCTCTCCACTTTCTTGATCTCCTTCAGTGACTCCTGTACCTGCAGGGAGCCCTCCTTACCTCCCTCCTCACACCCACCTCCAGCCCATCACACTCCTGGGCAAGGCGGAGCCCTGGCCTTCCTCCTTGGGCACAGTTGCTAGCCCTGCCTGGCAGCTCCTTCCCCCTGGTCACACTCCACTCCTCCCCTTGGTGCTTCCCAGGGAGAGCTGGGCTCTGCTCTGGCCTCCCACAGAGCCCCGTGAGCATCTCAGAAACCTGAAGCCACTGTGCCTCCCCCACTGTCCTGTGAGCTCCTGGTGTGGGGACATGGCCCTGCAGTGTCCCCAGGGCTCCCTCACCAATGGTAATAACACCGCACACAACTCCACGCACACCTCGGTGATCTAAGGGTTCGAGTCTGGGCTTTGGGAGTTCCTCACACTTCCCCCCACACTCTCACCTGCCTGACATAGGTATTCACTCACCCATGTCTTCAGTACACATTTATTCCCATCACCCAAATGATATAACATATAATTAAAATTATTAAACGGAAAATTTCTACCTCACTTGAGCCTGATACTATTAAACCAACTGTAAGTAACCTTCATGAGATGTTGGGAGAAAGTAGAATGCTGAATATTTAATGAAAGGGACGAATTATAAAACTTTAGTGTGATAGGGGAAAAGTCTGCTCTTTTTGAGAAAAATAGTCCTTACCTTTTAGAGATTAACATACTAAATTTTTGATAGATGAATTGATATGCTGTCTAGGACTTGCTTCAAAATAATCCCATGGTAGTGAGTGGGAATATATATTAGATTCTCTTGGTTGCTGTATCAAATTACTATAAACTGGGCAGCTTAAAAAACACAATGTCTTCTCTCACACTTTTTGAGGCTGAAAATCCCAAGTCAGGGTGTCAAGGCGTCAGCTGGGCTGTACTTCCTCTGAGGGCTCTGGGGGAGAATCCTTCCTGCCTCTTCCAGCTTCTGGTGGCTTTTTGCATTCCCTGCTTGCCTTGGCTCATCGCCACATTACTTCAACCTCTGACTCAGTCATCATCTCACCTCCCCCTGTGTGTATATGTGCGTCTGTCTTCTCTTCTCTTACAAGGATACGAGTTACTGGGTTTTGGGCTCACCAGGATAATCCAGAATGATCTAATTTCAAGTTCCTTAACTTCATTACATCTACAAAGACCCTTTTTCCAAATAAGGTCACATCACGGGTTCACGACATTTGGACATGGACCGATGTTTTTAGGAGGTCGCCTTATCACCCACTACAGGGTATAGATGAAAAAAGATTCTTGGCACTTGCTGAAGCAGGGAGATTGGTACATTGAAGTTGGATATGCTATTCTCTCTACTTTTGTATTTGCTAGAAATTTTCCACTTAATAATTTTAATAACTATGTTATATATTATGCCCCTAATATGTACAGGGACTTTGGGGACTTGACTGAAAGCAAGATGAAGGTTCTACTCCCAGGAGCTCACGGTGTGTCGGGAAACTGATATTAAACATTCAGTGTCAAATAATGTGAGTAAAGATATGATAGGGGAAATACAATCATAGCATGGGTAGAATATTCTAATCAGAGCAAAGAGCATGTGCAAAGGCCCAGAGGCTAGAAAGGCTGATCCAAGCGTGGCTGAGAGACAAAAGTATACAAATAGGGTTGCCAGATTTAGCAGATAAATACAGGATAACCAATGAAATGTGAATTTCAGAAAACGAGTTATTTTTTACTATAAGTATGTTCCATGCATTGCTTATGACATACTAAAAAATTATTTACTATTTGTGTGAAATTCACATTTAATTGCGTGTTCTGCATTTTATCTGTGACCCAATATAAAAAGTATTCCAGAGACTCACTTGCCCCTTACTGACATCAGCTCCCTGCTGCTCATGGCAGAGGTTTCTCATCTGCCTTCCTCCTTGCATCCAATTCCTGAAAACCTCACAGTAAGTTTCTGCAGAAAGCTGTTTCCTACTGCCTGACAGAGACAGTCCAAACATCCTGAAATTTTTTGTTTAATCTTTTAATTGCCAACCTTGAAAAGGAACATATTAACCATTTGTTTTGTGATAAGATGATGACTTAGTTTTCTTCTAATCTAGCATGGAACCCCTGGCCCCTGAACTCTGTAGGAGTGGCTTTTCGAATGTCAGGGGTGGGTCTCCTTGAGCGGCTCTTGCAACTCCCTCAGGGCCAGGAAGAGTTAGAACTCTCTTGAGTGTTTGCTCCAGGACCATCCCCCAGGCCCTGTGGATCCCTCTCTTTGCTTCTCCTGCTTTTCTGCCCAGTGACTGAGCTCTAGCAGCTCAGGACCCCACAGCCCTCCCAGCAAGGACATCAAACACATGCAATACAGTAAAAAGAGGAGAAACAGGCCCACCAGTGGCCTTGAATTCTTTTATCTGAACGGTTGACAACGTGATGTCTTAGCAGTATTATAGCTCAGATAACAAGATGGCGTTGAGTTAGTTGGAAGGTCAGGGGAGCCCGTGAGGAGGGAGAGAAAGAGTGAGAGCCAGCAGCAGTGGGGTGGGGAACACAGGGCCCCCTGCACACACTCTCCAATGAGGGGATTTGGAGAGCATACAGAACACCCTCCGGAAATCTCCCTTAGCACCGGCCCTAATGTCAGGAACCCACAGACCCTTTGGGAACTTCCCAGTTGAAATGGCCACTGGCTGGTGGCCCTATTGCAGGCTTTCCCAACTTCCTCCCAAAATATCCATGAGATAAATCAGTGCAAAAAATACGGAGACCTCCCATGCATCTGGATGGAAAAGAAAAAGATAAATTAAATAATAGGTTAAAAAGTAAAAGGCTGGGGCCGGCCCCGTGGCTTGGCGGTTGGGTGCGCGCGCTCCGCTGCTGGCAGCCCAGGTTTGGCTCCCGGGCGCGCACCGACGCACCGCTTCTCCGGCCATGCTGGGGCTGCGTCCCACATACAGCAACTAGAAGGATGTGCAACCATGACATACAACTATCTACTAGGGCTTTGGGGGGAAACAAAAAGGAGGAGGATTGGCAATAGATGTTAGCTCAGAGCTGGTCTTCCTCAGCAAAAGGAGGAGGATTAGCATGGATGTTAGCTCAGGGCTGATCTTTCTCAGAAAAAAAAAAAAAAAAAGTAAAAGGCTGATAAGAAAAAGGATTACAGGAAGTTAAAAACAAAAATGCTATTTACTTTGAAATGTTCCCAGATAATAATTTTTTGTTTCTTTTTCTATCTTTAGTCATTTCAACAAACAGGTTTGCATCCTGCAAGTGTGATCCATAAAACATTTCACTCTATGTTTTCTTTTCTTCTTTCAAAGGTAGGAGCTTGATGTTCCAGCAAGTGCCAATGGTCAAAATCGGTGGGATGAAGCTGGTGCAGAGCAGAGCCATTCTCAGCTACATTGCCGCCAAATACAACCTCTATGGGAAGGACATAAAGGAGAGAGCCCTGTACGGTATTTTTCCTGCTCTTTCATCAACAGTTAATAAGAACAATTTAAGTCTTTCCCTGAGGGACCAAGACAGTGTCAGGGAGATCAGGACCAATAGCAGTGTGGCCTTGGTGGTTTAGACTGAGGTCCAGTACAGCAGAGACCTCAGAGGACGAGGGACAGGAAACCTGCAGTGGACTCTAGCAAGTGGAATTATAGAAGAGGATGTGGCCCATGGATAGCGTGCAGTGACAGAGGTCTCTAAACACTGATGAACAAGGGAGCCAAAAGGATGACAGAATCATGATTCTGGGTTCTCAGACCTTTAGGAGCTGGACACCAGCCCACAGCTAGAGGCAAGAGACAAAGTGCCTACCTATGGATAAGGCTGAGGAAGTGAAGGACCCAAAGGAGCTGACTCATATTCCAGAAATTACCAGAACGATGACTAGGAACATAACTTATCACCCAGTTATATGGATTGGCATTTTTTGACAAGGGTTAGCAGAGGTTGAACCCAAGATGCTCGGGTTACATTGAGCATTCTGATACAGTACTGAAGCAGCAGATTTATTCAATACAACTATATCGAGGGGTCTCCTCCCGGTGGGTGGGACACATGATTAAAATTAAAACTGTGTAAAGAACTGTTGGCAGTTATTCAAAAGTTAAACATAGAGTTACCATAAGACTCAGCAATTCCACTACCAGGTATATACCCAAGAGAATCGAAAATACAATCCACACTAACACTTGTACACCAATGTTCATAACAGTGTTGTTCATAATCTTCAAAAAGTGGAAACAGTGCAAATGTCCATCAAGTGATGAATAGATGAAGAACAGAAGGTGGTACAGCCATACAATGGAATATTATTTGACCATGAAAATAAATGGAGTCCTGATGCATACAACATGGACAAACCTTGACACATTATGTTACATAAATGAAACCAGATACAAATGACACATACTGCATGATTTCATTTGTATAAAACACCCAGAACGTTCATATCCATAGACACAGAAAGTAGTTCAGTGGTTACCTGAGGCTGAAGGGAGGAAAGAATGCAGAATTCCTGTGAAAGCATAGAGCATTTCATTTGGAAGGGATGAAAATACTCTGGAATTAGAGTGTGGTGATTGTATAGAATTCTATGACTTTATCTATATCACAAAATTCTACACTTGAAAAGGATGATGTTATGGTAGGTAAATTATATTTCAATAAAGCTTCAATTTTATTTTATTATTTTTTTTCGTGAGGAAGATTAGCCCTGAGCTAACATCTGTTGTCAATCTTCTTCTTTTTGCTGAAGAAGATTGGCCCTGGGCTAACATCCGTGCCCATCATCCTCTACTTTATATGTGGGACCCTGGCCACAGTATGGCTTGGTAAGCAGTGTGTAGGTCTTCTCCCAGGATCTGAACCCATGAACCCTGGTCCACCAAAGTCGAGCATGTGAACTCAACCACTATGCCACCAGGCCAGCACCCTAAAGCTTTTATTTTTAAAATCCTCTTATACGAGCCCTGTTTAGAACTATTAAAAAAAAATCACTTGGTATACTCACTGGTTGGAACTGTATAAGGAATAGCACTATTTCAGGGGATACTTTAAGTGGGATCTTGAGAAATGCAAACACGGCCATTGTTGGGGAACAGTGCATGGAGAGGGCTGCGGAACCATGTTCTATGGGAAATCACTGGAAGAACTGCCAACATTGGGCATTAAGTGGACCTGGGTGGTGTAAGAGGATGAGAGGGAGAGGGCCATGACTGAGAGGGCTGTGCCAGGGACTTTCTCTGGAGGTGACTTAGGTGGCACATCTTTGATCACATGAATCACACTGAGTTTGTGCACAGAACAAACCCCAGCAGAGATGGCAAACCCCAGCTAGAGGCTCAGTGGTTACTTGCAGTGATTCCACCAATGTCTCTCATGCCTGTGACCCTGGGCAGGTCATCGATGCTCTCGGTCCTTATATTTGGTCATGTGTGTAACAAAAATTTTAGACATATATCTAACTCACAAGCTTGTTCTCAAATGAAATGTGAAAATTAAGTAAAAATCATAGCTGAATGACTGGCTTATAAAAATGCACCCAATGGAGGTGAATTCCTTTACCAGCCCCTGTTGCCTCATTCTTTTACATTTTTAACCTATGAAATCTAGGGCAGGAGACATTTGACATTTTGGTCATTTTTGTCTGTCAGGATTGATATGTACATAGAAGGTGAGGCAGATTTGAATGAAATGATCATACTTTTGCCCATAACCCCACTTGATGAGAGAGATGACAAGATTGCCCAGATCAAAGAGAGAACAACAAATCGTTATTTCTCTGCATTTGAAAAAGTAAGTGGGCTTTTCAGTGTCCTGGGGGCACTGAGGTTAGAGGAGAAAGAGAACGAGTGTCTGGGCATTCCTGGGGCATTGACCCTCACGTCCAGTGAGTCTCTCTGAATACTAGTTAATGGAGCACCTGACTCTCAGGGCATTTTGTAAAAATCCACTGTGAGAAAGAATTGTACAAGTTTTACCCATGTTATAATTTTTCACCAAAATTTCAATTTACTAGGATGCAATCTAAAATTCTCTATTCAGTGGAATTTCATGTTCATAGACCTTGGCCTTGGGAGGCTCTGAGAGCCACACTAGAGATTGGAGCATATCCTGCAGAACAACATACAGGGGCTTCTCCTCCAGGAGGAACATGATGAAAGCAATACATCAAAAAATATTCTGGTACTATCTATAGGGAGACATGAGACTAGCTCACCATCAAGAGAATGTGGTAGTATTTCAGAGAATGGATAAGATGTATCTAAATAGATGGGAGCAGTGGATGGAAAGGAAGTGATAGATGAAGAGATGTTTGGGATAATGATCTACAAATTTGGGGGACATGGCTCTTAGAGTTTTGAGGAAAGTCATGCAAACTAAGGAAATAAAGTTGCATCATTACACATAGTACTTATCTTAGTTAATGTTTCTCTTTGAAAGTAAAGGAGAACATTTTAAGATCAAAAGTACCTGAAATCATGCTAAATAAAAATCACGAACCAAAAAATGATTGTAAGCCATACAGGTGGCTTACATACAAATAAAAGGATTAACACCGACCCCCTCATCTTTATAAAGCATTAAATCATTCTTTCTTTCATTCAACAAGTGTTCAGTCATTGCTAGTGTGTCAGGTCCTATTCAAGGAGTGAAGAATTTAATACAAACCATAAAATCCACTCTTGGTCCTTGCGGTGCTGAGAGTTTAGGCACATTCCCATGATGACAAATTCTTCAGTGACTGCAGTTTGAGGACATCTATACTCTGAAATCAAAGAACCACGTGATATAATATATGAAAGATGCACATTACAACATAGCATTTGATGATTTATTATATTCTCTATTTTTTATCCAACTTCTATATACATACTTAGTCTGAAAAGGTATTTGCCACCATGTTATTTTCTTTAGTTGGTGTTGCTATGTGTGTTTTTTCTGCTTGTACTTTATAATTTCCGTATTGCTAGAATATTTTAATAAATATCACATATTTCCCCTACAATTTATGATGAAAAATTGCAAACATCCAGAAAAGTTGAAAGAAATATGCAATTAACACATATACATCCACCACGTAGATACCAAAATTAACCTTTTATTGTGTTTGCTTCATCATATGTCTCTACCTCTCCATCCCTCTCTCTGTCAATCAAATATATTATTTTTGCATATATTACCAAGCGAGTTGCAGTCATCAATGCAGTTCACCCCTAGACATTTCAGCATGCAGATCATAACATAGTGCAAGTTAGGAGTTGGAGTGAATGTTGTAAGGGAGATGCTGAGTCCGAGGTGACCCAGGTTTATTCAGGTCCCAGAGAGACAAACAAGAAATGAGGAGAGCAGAGGAGAGGAGAAAGGCAGACTCTGAACTAGTCTGCTCAGGACTGAAGAAGGCTGTCATGAAGATGGAGCCTTTGTCCAAGGGAGAGGGGAGAAAGAAAAGTGTGGAACAAAGAAAGAGAGAAAATGAAACAGATGGAGAGCCATGCCCTGCAGTTTCAGGGCTGCTCACTTTAGGGTGTGGGGCCAACAGAAACATGGCACAGCAGGCGCTAAGCCCTTGGCCCAGTACAAGGTGCAAGTAGGGAGCCCCACGATGTGGGAAAGGGAGAAGGACATGGTAGCCCAGCTTCAGCTGAGGACTGAGGAAGAACAGCAGAGCCCACTCCTCCCTCCGTCTCACTGAGTCAGGGCCGGTGGAGAAGGTCTGAGGCTCCACATCCGCCCAGGGAGGCAGCAGAGGGGGAGAGTGGGGCTGAAGAGACCTGGGAGGAGCAGGGGCCCAACCTGACTGTGCCTGTGTCCATGACCTGATCCCTCAAATTCGCCAGGTGTTGAAGAGCCACGGACAAGACCACCTGGTTGGCAACACGCTGAGCAGGGCTGACGTTCACCTGGTTGAACTTCTCTACTCTGTCGAAGATCTTGACCCCAGCCTTCTGGCCAACTTCCCTCTGCTGAAGGTGATCTCTTTCACAGCCCTCAGGACAGAAGGCCCTCATCTTCCATCTTGGAATCTAATATTTGGACTCCTGGGTCCCCATTATTGTTCAGGCCTTTGCTGCCCTCGGGACTCCAAAATTGGCTCTTGGGCCCTGGTCTGAGGCATGAAAAGAATCTCATTATGCCGAGGAGATCTGAGTGGATGCTGCCCCAAGAAGAAGAATTTGTCTTTTACAAGGAGAGGGACCCAGGGTCAGCCTCTCTCTCCCAGGCCCCTGCTCCATGACGGTTTGTGTCCTCTTTTCTCTGTGATTCCCTTGACCCAGGTGTGTCCTTCTCTTTCCACACCTGAGTCTGTGAGCAGGTCTCCTCCCCTCGGCTCCTGTTCCTACTTTCAGACATTGTGTTTCTCTCTGCACAGTCTCCTCTCTCTCTCTGGGAAAATTGTTTTTGACTGGCCTCGTGGTTTCCCGTTTATATTTTCTGTCTTTAGTTCCTGCTCACTTTTCCTATATCTTTGCTTTTTCTTTCCTTTTTTTATTTTTTTATTTTTTTTATTATTTAAGACCTTTATTAACAGGTGCTGGCAGTTTGTTAACTTTTCTGAAAAAATCAAGTTGTAAACTTTTTTTGTGTGTGTGAGGAAGATCAGCCCTGAGCTAACATCTATTGCCAGTCCTCTTCCCTTTTATTTTCACTTTTTGTCCCCAAGGCCCCATTAGATAGTTGTATGTCATAGTAGCACATTCTGCTAGTTGCTCTATGTGGGAGCCGCCTCAGCATTGCTGGACAAGCGGTGCGTCGGTGCGCGCCCAGGATCCCAACCCCGCCCGCCAGTAGCGGAGCCCCTGCACTTAACCGCTAAGCCACAGGCCAGCCCCAAGTCGTAAACTTTTATTACAAATTAGAAATGAGGTTCTTAAAAATCTCAACGTGACCAGATATGAAACAATTTAAAAACTTTTAAAGGTATATTGAGAAAAACCAGGTTTTTTTCTTTTTTTTTAAAAAAACACATTTGGTCATTACCAAAAAGAGACGTTTTTAGGTAAAAATAATAAAAACCCCATGCTGCATAGATAATGCAGATAGTTCTAGTTATCTGGTCAACAGGCAAAAAGCAAGCACTTAAGATCTTCAGCTCCAATCTTTTGTTCATTTCTTATTGCTGGGATTTCCTATTCCTTTCTTCTTGTTGGATATCTAAAGCGGATGATGGTAGAGATGGTAAGCCTGCATTTACTCAGCCCCGCCCTCCTCGGCCAGGGGAGCGGCCGAATTCTCAGCTGGTGGATCGGCTGCTTTCGTCTCTTTGCCATCCTGTGGTTTGGGGTTTTCTGGGCGTCTGACTCGGTAATTGGAGTTGCGGCTGCACCGACGTTGAGGTGGCTGCTGACCTCAGGTCTCATCGCCTTGATTTCCCTTATCTTCTTCACTGCCGTCCTCTCCTCTCTAGGCTGACTTTGGCGAGGAGGGTCCCTGCGGAATGGTGGTCTATAACCCCATACATATTCTCCCTCACTGGTCTCCCTTGTTCCCCTGCACCCTGGTTGTCAGCACCCTCCATCGCTTCTCCCTGCACAGGAGGGCTGGAATACTGTGGTCGACGCCCATAGGGTCTCCGCATAGTAAGGTGGGAACCGTCGCCTGCAGTAGGGCCGGCGCTTTGGGCCTGGCCTTCGGGAGCACTCTCCGATCCCTCATCCTGTTCCCCACTCTCACTATTCTGGTAATTTTGAGGGTAGCTGCGTGGGGGACCCCTGCGAGGTGGATAGCGTCTATATGGTTATGGTGTGCTGCGTATTTACTGCCTTGCTCTGGAACTCCACCAGCGCCTGTAACATTTGCTGCCTGCGCACCCTTCTCTCCTTCAACAACACCAAACTCCGCAGTCTCTCCATCTCCTACCCTGCGAAGGTGCTTCCTGGGGTTACTCTTCTTTATGGCAGCCTGGTGTACTAATACGTCTTCTTTGGTGTCATTCCTTTTGATGAAACCATATCCGTTTCTTACAGTGAAACATTTTACTGTTCCCAAAACCTTCGCTGCGATGACCTGGTCCCCGCCCTGCCCGGGGTGCCGGGCTCGGTGTCGGCAGCGCTGAGGGCGGGGCCGGCGGCTGCTGGGTCTCGGCCTCGCTGCTCCTGGCTGCGGTGATGGGGACTGGGGCCGGCTGCGGCCGCTGCGGCTCCTCCCGGGGTGTGATGGTAACGAGGCCGGCGGCGGCGGCGGGGCTGCTCAGGGCTCTCTGGCGTCCGCTCTCCGCTCCCGCTCCCAATCGAACTCTATCTTTGTTTTTCCTGATTGGAGACTGTATCTGTGATGGTATCTGACAGACACATCCTCTTCCTTGCATTGCACAAGAGCCATGAATCCACAGGATGAGTGTGTAGGGAAGAAGAGAGGGAAGAAAGTGCTACTGAGCTGGATTTTCTTCCTCTTATCCTCTTGGCTCAGACTGTCTGTTCCCCAGCCTCACACTGGCGCTGATGGAGGAGACTCAGTGGGTCCTCTTCTAGGAGGGTCTCAGATTCCCTGGCTTGTGCTAATGACAGGGTTGGTCTTTGGCTCCACTCTGAGACTGTGCTCCTGTGTGTTGCAGGCCCTGAAAACCAGAATCAGCAACCTCCCCACCGTGAAGAAGTTTCTGCAGCCTGGCAGCCAGAGGAAGCCTCCAATGGGTGAGAAATGTTTGGAAGCAAAGATTTTCAAGATGAAATAAAGCAAGCTAGACTGCCCAGCACACGCAGGACCAATCCTCTGAAGTTTTCCAACAATGAAGTGCTTGACTTAAACGTAGATCCTGGCTTTTGTGACGCCAGTAAACTCTTCAAAAGTTTTAGTGGTAATTAAAAAATACATCTCCTATGAACAGATTTAGTTACAATTTATTCTTTTTCATTAGGATTAAATGGAAATCAGATTTTCAATATCCTTCTATCCGGTCTCTTGCTTGGAATTAGAATAAATAAAAAAGGGAAACATAGATTATGTGTCTTCTTGAACTTTTCCAGACATTGTCATATAACATCTGTCACAGAGCCATCAGAGTCACTTGCAGAAATTCATACCTGACACCCTCAGGTATTCACAGGAAAATACCTACCTTTCTCGGTAATGGTGAAAGAAATTTTCTTTTATGGTTGAGAGGCATTTTCCTTCTGATAATAAAAATGTTTTTTCTGATGCATGTTTGAACAGCTATTATGTCCCCTATGGATTCTTTAGTGTTCTAGGCGTTGGGGAAGGAATGAAGAACAAAACAGACTCGAGCTCTGCCCTCAGGGGACCCTCTGTCCCTTCTAGTTCCCGAGCACCCTGGCACATCATCGCTCTGTTGCTTAGCGCTCTGTGGGGCCTGGTATGAGCCTTCCTCTCAGGTCACTTAGTGTCCCTCAGGCCCAGGCTTCCAAGATACAGACTATATGTATGAATTATGTATAAATGAATATACATAAAATCATTGTTCTGGGCCAGAGTGCCCAATGAGGAGTGATTTCTAGCTTTAGCCCCACCCAGGGCCAATGATGAATACTCTCTCAGAAAAGGTGGGCATTGGCACATGGAGTTCTCCTCCCCTTAGTGTGAGGGTCCCCACAGTGGGGGATGGGGCAGGGGGCACACAGACATAAGGCTCCCTGACTGAGGCCTCACTTCACTCTGGTCTGTTTTCTACTCACAGCCAGAGTGGCTTTCCACAAGTGCAAATCTGAGTCTCTCCACCTTCTTGATCTCCTTCAGTGACTCCTGTACCTACAGGGAGGCCTCCTCACATCCCTTCTCACACCCACCTCCAGCCCATCACACTCCTGGGCAAGGTGGGGCCCTGGCCTTCCTGCCTGGGCACAGTTGCTAGCCTTGCCTGGCAGCTCCTTCCCCCCGGACACTCCACTCCTCCCCTCGGTGCTTCCCAGGGAGAGCTGGCCTCTGCTCTGGGCTCCCACAGAGCCCCGTGAGCATCTCAGAAACCTGAAGGCCACTGTGCCTCCCCCACTGTCCTGTGAGCTCCTGGTGTGGGGACATGGCCCTGCAGTGTCCCCAGGGCTCCCTCACCAACGGTAATAACACCGCACACAACTCCACGCACACCTCGGTGATCTAAAGGTTCAAGTCTGGCTTTGGGAATTCCTCACACTTCCCCCCACACTCCCACCTGCCTGACATCGGTATTCCCTCACCCATGTCTTCAGAATATGTTATTCCCATCACTCAAATGCAGTGTGTGGACCTTGCTGGATCCTGACGCAAGTAAACCAACTCTAAGGAAACCTTCATGAGACAATGTGGGAAATTAGAATGCTGAATATTTAATGAAATAAAGGAATTAAACTACTTTTGTGTGATAGGGGACTAGTCTGATTATCTTTAGGGAAAGAGTTCTTACCTTTTAGAGATTAACATACTAAATTATTTTTGTGAGGAAGATTAGCCTGAGCTAACATCCGATGCAAATCCTCCTCGTTTTTATGAGGAAGACTGGCCCTGGGCTAACATCCGTGCCCATCTTCCTCCACTTTACATGGGACGCCGCCACAGCATAGCCTAACAAGCGGTGCGTCGCTGGGCGCCTGGGATCCGAACCTGCAAACCCCAGGCCACTGCAGCGGAGCGCGCGCACTGAAGTGCTACGCCAGCGGGCCAGCCCCTAACATACTAAATTTTTGATATATGAAGTGACGTGCTGTCTAAGATTTGCTTCAAAATAATACCCTGGTCGTGGGCCCATAGGTGAAGGTATATGTTAGTTTCTCGTGGTTGCTGTATCAAATTACTACAAACCAGGTGGTTTAAAACAACAGAATGTGTTCTCTCACACTTTTCAAGGCTGAAAGTCCAAAATCAAGGTGTCAGCTGGGCTGCACTTCCTCCAGAGGCTCTAGGGGACAATCCTTCCCTGCCTCTTCCAGCTCCTGGTGGCTATTTGCATTCTTTGCTCGCCTTGGCTCTTGGCCACGTCGCTTCAACCTCTGACTCCATCTTCACCTCCCCTCACCCTCTAAATGTCTGGGTCTTCTCTTCTGTTATAAGGATATGTGTTCTTGGATTTAGGGGCCACCAGCATAATCCCGAATGATCTCATCTCAAGTTCCTTAACTTAGTAACATCTGCAAAGACCCTTTTTCCAAATAAGGTCACATTCACAGATTCCAGGTTTTTGGACATGGATTTGTATTTTTAGGAGGCCACCTTACCACCCACTACAGGGTATAGATGAAAAAAATTATTCACAGTATGTGAAGCAGGGGATGGCTACATAGGATGGATACAACATTTAGGATGCACTTATACTTAAAAAGTTATTTATTATTTCTCTGAAACTCACATTTAATTGGGTGTCCTGTGTTTTATCTGTGACCCAATATAAAAAGTATTCCCAAGACCTGCTTGCCCATACTGATAGCAGCTCCCTGCTTCTCATGACAGAGGTTTCTCACCAACCTCTGTCCTTGCATCCAATTCATGAAAACTTCACAGTAAGTTTCTTCAGAAAGCTGTACCCCACTGACTGCCAGAGAGAGTCCAGACCTCCAAAATTTTTTTTTTTTTTGTGAGGAAGATCAGCCCTGAGCTAACATCCATGCTAATCCTCCTCTTTTTGCTGAGGAAGACCAGCTCTGAGCTAAATCTAGTGCGAATCCTCCTCCTTTTTTTTCTCTCCCCAAAGCCCCAGTAGATAGCTGTGTGTCATAGTCTCACATCCTTCTAGTTGCTGTAAGTGGGACGCAGCCTCAGCATGGCCGGAGAAGCAGTGCGTCGGTGTGCGCCCGGGATCCGAACCCGGGCCGCCAGTAGTGGAGTGCGCACACTTAACCGCTAAGCCATGGAGCCGGCCCCTCCAAAAATTTTTTGTTTAATCTTTTAATTGCCAACCTTGAAAAGGAATATATTAATAGTTGCTTGTGATAAGAGGATGACCTGTCATTTTTCTTCCCATCTAGCATGGAACCCCTGGCCCTGAACTCTGTAGGAGTGGCTTGTCCTTAACTGGACTTCACCCTTGTCACAGGCAGGAGTTATACCAACCTGAGGGGTTGGTATTGATTTGCTGAGCCACGCGGGAGACAGACTTTAATAAGGTCAGTACTGATTTTATAAATCTTCTTACATTGCCTCACATCCTCACCTCTAGGTCACCAGAAAAATACTTTAAAATGTGTCCTCAGCACAAGAAAAATCAGTTTTAGACTCACATGGTGACTTCTTGCTGTGCTTAGGGGTCAGTTCAAGAGTTGTTTATTCAATTGCTGTTGGAAACATCTTTACAGAAATGTGAAAATGAAGGATTTAGAACACTAGGGCATGAGAATCTAGATATGAGAAAAATTAAAGATAGGAGGAGAAAAAAGAATCATACGATTTTAGACAATCCGAGAATCTTCCCAGTGCAAGAGAGAGTGTGGGAGTTTGTGCCCAGGTTACTCTCTCTGTAGAAGTGGTTGACACAGAGCAGTTGTGAGCTGTGATACTGTAATACTATGTCAGCTGTGAAAATTCAATATTAAGACTGATTATAAGAGGAATAAATTAGTCCGAAGGTCAGCAGAACTCGATTTTAGTTCAGCTTTTGCTGAATTAGCTTGCAGACACGTCTCCTTCTCTCTCTGGGGTTCAGCCAACTCAGGGCAACTCGACAGCGGCTGGAGGTTTCCCAGTGTGGCCCTGTGGACACTATGGCTGGGCAATGCTTTGTTGTGGGGCTGTCCTGTCTGTTGGCCTTTTTTTTAGTTAAAAAATATCTCTTATAGAAATGTGCATTTAATTAGTTTTAGTGAATGTACTTGAGGGGAGTGTTAACATATTTTTTCCTCAAATTTGCAATCTATACACCTTTCAGATACCTACAATGATAGTTTGTTTACAGGTTCACATGAAATCATCATTTCTTCGATACTCTACTCGCACTTTTTCTCTCATTTCACTCTGTACGTGTAGAAAGAACACAGCGTGGGGGTCAAGTTCATCCTAGTGCTGGTGGCAGCTGCACAGTCAAATGAATGAGAGGCGCAAAAGGATAGAGAAGAATTATTCCATGTTCAAAAAAATGTATTTTTCAGAAAACCATTATCCTGGAAAGATGACACAGATAAAATAGCCAACTGCAATCAAATGTAAGGTATTTCCAAGTAAATATCCAATCGATGTGTCTGTTAGGATAACATGGTGGATGAAAAACAAAAGTGGATAAAATACATAATGAGTAAGTGTGGTAAGAAGCATTTGATGAAAATCGAGCCATTGCCCCACTCCATGTCAGAGGCTTCACTGCTCTGTACCAAAGGCATGAAGCACCTCCCTCCTGGTTTTGACAAGGAAAATGTCTCCAGAGATTGCAAAGTGTCCTCCGGGGTGGGAGGGACAAAATCACCCCCTGTTAAGACTCCCTGGGCAACATGACTTCTCAAACTCCCCAACTCAGGAAGTCTCGATGGGAAAACTAGAGAATCACAGGAGCACAGAATGAGAATTTACAAAGCACAGGAACTCGCCAAGCTAGAATGGACAAATCATTCAAATCAGAATGTAAGAGTCAACCATGCTAAGCATTAATATCGGGGGAAAAAAGGAAAGGTCTCATACAGGAGAGATGGAGAGGTTCAGGGAGATCATGTGAAAATCCTGGAGCTATTAGAACATAACAGAATTCACCAGAAAAACTCTAGTACCTATGGGAGAAGATATTGAAATGGCAATGAGGAAAAGCACTAGGCAGGATGCTACCGAGAGCAAGGTTTGTCAGGGCTGAGGCGGGGTCCTCATTTGAAGGGGAGGAAGGCAGCCACGTGGGGTAGAGAGGCACGGAGCTTGGGGACTGGGTGCTGCCTGGGAGGCAGGA